TCTTCAAAATATCTTCTTTTGTGTTCCACAGAAGAAAGAAAGCCAAACAGGTTTAGAACAACATGATTGTGAGTAGTTTTTTTTTTTTAAATCATTGATAGTTCAGCAGTATTACAGGAAATGCAGCTTTCAGTTCAACTTTACAGCGACACAACATCCAAGTCTCATGTCCAGAAAAACACAGATTGAGACTAACTGGAATCTCATATTTGTGGTATCTCTCTCTGTAGCCTACAACATATAGCTGTATGTGTTTCTGAGTGTTGGTTATCTGGTTGCAGTGAATTCATGTTGACATGCTCCAGCGTCAGGGTCAGTTTATAAAGCCGGGCTGACAGAACATCTCAGCGTTCTGGTTTCTGCGTTCTCCCCCACAGACGCTGCAGCTCAGGTAAAAGGCAGGCTGGCTTTGATGGGATCATATGGCCGTTCCTATCTGGCCTCACTGTCAGCTGGGCTGGTTTCAGTTCTCTCCTCTTTATTACCTCCCTACAATATTAAAGGGAAATGAACACCGGTCTGGCCCTCCCCACAGTAACATGAGTTGGCAGTTCCTCTTTCTTTTTTGTCTTGCTGTTATCCGTTCTGTTTTGTTTTTGATAGCGAGACTGAGGTTAGAACTGAGTTTTACTTGTTTTTGGTAAATCTCACAAAAACAGGACCAGGTCGCATTTGCATTTTGCATAAAGAAAATTAAACCTGACATTATTTTCATGACAGTTAACTTAAGGCACATTTCACCCACAGAGTCTCATTACCTAAATACGTGCAAATGCACTGTAAACAAATTAGGTTTGATTATTGGAGTACATTTTAAGTACTATTTCAGTTTGTCTACTTCAAAATGGTATATTTAACTCTTAACAACTCGGTGTTTCTTTATGATTCTGAAATTTAATAGCAATTTCTGAGCGAAAATTGATTCTACGCCAATTTTTTCATGTAGTTTACTTGACTTTTGTAATTCCTATTATTTTCAATGAAAATTCTCATTAGATTTTTACTTGCCATATTTTTTTGTTTCTTATTTAAATAAGTAAAAACAAAAGGACTACAACAAACACTACATTGCTTTATTAATACTTTACAATTGAATATAGCATTTTTTTCATTGCAGTAATGAGAATGGATTTGTTATTACTTTATGGTAATGACTTTTTTTCCCCCTGTAAAACAATTTTTAATGATAAAAGGACTTTCTATGTTCTCATCTATGCTAGGCTACCCATTAAAAACTTGGGGGGAAAAAACAACCTTTTAGCATATATATGCATCTCTTTTGAAGGACTAAAAATATTGATGACTCATCTTGCACACAGAGGCGTGTACAAATCATTATCCAATCAAATTCTGTCTAGACTTAGCATGCTCCTCCCTCCTTCCTGTCGATATGAAACAGGAAAGAAAATCATGGGGTCATGAAAATAGAAGATGCGATGCAAAATATCCTATATTTGGACTTTAAATGCGATTTCTTATTGAATTCTTTTAGTTTTCATGTTAAATAAATGTTTTTGGCAGGTTTTTCACAAAACCTGCCAAAAACTGCAAAAACTGCAAAAACATCAAGAACGCCGAGCAGGAAGTGAATACTCATTAGCTGGTGTTGATTAACTTTCCAGCATCTGAGGTGTGAATGTAGACTAGATGGATATCAGTCCCTGAACTATCCACACAACAGAGAAAATCTAACAAAGAGCCCATAGTTTGAATCCAAGGACTCTTTTTTTAATACATTTCATCCTGCGAATGATAGTGAACAGCGGAAGACCCCAAACACTCCCTCCCAACTGGAGGTCTTTCACTGCCCTCCGGAGAGTATCGGCAAGCAGATTTGGGGAGGTTTGGTGTGTAGGAGTGTCTATGAACCACCAAAACAACTTCAACTCACATGTATCCTTGAAATATAGAGCGTGCAAATCCTGTGTCAACTTGATTTCTTGTTTTGGGAGGTGTAGTTCATCCAGCTGTCTTGCTGTATTTCAGAGAGAAATAAATTATTAATTGAATTATAATTCTGGATCAGGCTGCTTCTCTTGAAAATAATCTCACAGACAATTTTCACTAGATGTGTCAGACCCAGCATGTTGCGGCAAATGCAGACATGTTGAAATATCACTGCTGGTTTGATGTTAATTTGACCTGAGGTAAAATTCTCCTTGCCTGGCATTGTCAGACCCCTTAAAAATGTAATGTGGTATGAGCTTTCCTTTACTGTGGACCTGTATGTGATGTTACATGGGTTACCTTTTATACAGCCCTGCTTTCCTTTAATCTACTTTTCCATTTGTACTATATTATCTGTTGTTTGCGTTTAGTGTCACACAGAGTAAGTCGGCGGCTCTTTCAACAGCGCTAGTTAATTGGAATGTTCTGTTAGCTGTGTTTGTCCAGTCGTATCCGGTTACTGACGAGGGGGGTCCATCTCAATAATAGATATCATAGACAATGAAGCTGGAAAACACACACGCACACATTTACACACAACCCTCTCTGTCCTTCATCTCACACCTACACCAACAGCAATGCGACAAAATTCTAACATTATAATTAACAGAGTTGACTACAAGCTTTAAATTATATTTAATGATTTTGATCACAATGCAGCGTGTCAAAGCAGAACACTTTGTTAAAAAAAAAAAAAGATCTATACAGCAAGATTGTGAGTGGTGAAGCAATAAAGTAGAATGTTTCCATTACTGACTATAGAGCTAAGACACTTCCATTTTAATCGGTGAAGCTGACTACTATAACGCAAGTGCACAAGTGGTGACATGCCAAACTAGAACTAGGAAACAGTCTAGCTAGCTAACACTGAATGAACCAGTTACATGATTTATTTGTACATTATGGTAATTTCATGCCTAACCGGTAACTTAAACCCAAAAATGAAAATTCTGTAATGTATACTCACCGTCATGTTGTTCCAAACCTGTATGACTTACTTTGTTCTGCTGAACACAAAATAAGATACTTTAAAGAATGCTGGTATCCAAAGGTTGGGTGAATTATCCTTTAACTGGATCATCACAAAACACTGCAATGCAATGTATGTGAACTAACCAATTCACAATGCTGTTTCATACACTTATAATGTCAAATTAGAAGGCTTTAATTATAATAATCAAAGTTATAATCTGCAATTTGTCAAATAATGTTGACATGGTTTACCATGGGGGAAACACGTCCCACCATAGTTACCCATTTATTTATATGGGGGAAATATAAGATAAATATTGAATCAGTTTATCTCCAAAAAGATTTTTTAATAAGTGAATGAATAGTAAACAGGATGAGTCGCCAGGGCCTCATCAAACACTGTTGCTGAATTCAAAACAGCATACTAGCATACTACTCTTTGAGGCCATTCACAAAGAATGTGTTGAATTCCACTGCTGCTTTTCAATTGTTTTCTACTGTATGTAAACATGCACTAGACTAGACCGACACGTTTGACCGTTGCGCTTGCATCTCGCATCTTTTGCTGTGTCTCCCGTACTTGACACAGAGTTCTAAAAATGTGGCACTGAAATTTAAAAGTATCGTACCTACAATGTTTGTGCCTTGTGTAAACAATGACTGACGTATACTCGCGAGTGATCACTTCCGGTGCTTGCATAAACTACGCCGGAGCGCGTACACACCTCACGCACCGGATGCCGTGTGCGCGCCCAAAGACAGTTGGACATAGTGGTGTATTAGAGGTAAAATATGATATAAATACTGTTTGGTTTCTGGCACAAACCGATCGTTTCGTGTCTTAGGACATCAATGTGTCGTCATGAGCCGCAGGGTTTAATTTGGATTTGTCTGTGCATGTTTTGTTTACTCTCATAGATTTTGTTACCATTGCCATGCATTATACGACTGATAGACTGCAACGGTTGGACTTAAAAATCATAATTTTTGTTCTACTGAATAAACAAAGTCACCTACATCTTGGATGCCCTGGGGGTAAGCAGATAAACCTCAAATTTTCATTTTTGGGTGAACTATCCCTTTAAACAATATGTTTGGACAATGTGTTCTTGCTTTCTAAATAAATTAATAGACGTGGAAAAAATACTCTCCCTTCTACCACGCGCTCTCTGCAGTGCCTCCTCCTAGCGCAAAATAGTTTAAGACATGCTTTATTTGGGCGTTAAATAATGGCGCAAATACCAGTAATTTGACGAGCACAAACATTAGTACAAATGCATATTCAATAAGGTCAGGCGCAAAAATAATTGTCCACTCCTTTTCAGCACTAATTCTTCACTGAGCTTCTTTAGTAAAACCTGACAGTACTATTATATTATATTATATTATTACTATTATAACGGCAAAAGACGGTTTGCGCTGGTGCAAGATGTTAGTAAACTGGCCCCTAGTTATTTACTAGTTATTTTTAGGGTATGTTAACATTTTACAAAATAGCATTTTACTAAGAACGTAAACGTTTTTCCTTTGTGTTTTTGAAAAGTTTCACTTGTAACTTTCCCATTCACGTGTATTCACTAAATTGACTAAAACTGTTTTATGCATGCCAGGCCAATATCTGGAGACGGCAGTTTGTAAAGAAACACTCACAACAAGTAGCATATGCATATGCACATGACCTCACATTTTCACAAATTTGCGTTTTTGTAGTTTACACTGGGACGGTACTGATATCATTTACAAAAACTTGCACTTTGAAACAATTTGTAGCCCACCAAAACACATTTGCCGTGTAAATGAACGACTAAAACGCATAACAAGATCAAGTGCGGGCATGGCCAACTAACTTGATCTAACTTGAATGTGCGAGACTTCCGGTGTCAATCGCTTCAGGTTATTTGACCTGTACAACGCTGCTTTAAACTGCAAACTGATATTTGGTATCACATTATTTTAATTTACTATCATACTCATAAACACACTGGTTTTGCAGCGCAAAGGTTTTACCGTTTTCACTTATTTATCTGTAGCAGCTAAAGAATCTGAAGTCTCGCAAATTCACAGGAAATAGCTTGTAAAATATGTTGGATAAAGAAATGATAGAAATAAGAGTAGTATGCTGTTGCGAATTCACACATCGTTTATCGTGTAAACACGAGATTGGCGAGGTGAGAAACTACGCAGGTAGTTTAGTTGATTCTTAATGGCGTGTCGTTGGCTGTAGTTTGTTGCTTCGCTCGTTTGCATCGAGTGAACACGAAACCACAGGACAGCTGTTCCCCGCTGTTTCTAGGGAGACTGCTCATCAACCTGTTGCTCTCCGTCTTTTCTTCTGTCTCTCCCGTTATGATGCTCGCACCCTCTCAACAGCGGTATGAGGTTACAGTTTATGATGTTCACTTGTTTGCTTTCGGTTAATAAGTGCGCACACACATTTCTTTTTCTCCTTTCTGTCCACGCACACAGACAGATTCCCATTTTACAATAGTGTAGTGTGTGCATTCCTGCCTCTCTCTCACACACACGCCCATGTAACACCCTCCTCCTCCTCCTCCTCCTCCTCCCTCGGTTCATTTTCCCTTCTGTCTGTCTCTTGAACCCTCACTGTTCTCTTGAGCTCCATCTGTTTCTCTCTTCCCTTCATCCCACATGCACTTCTCTCACTCTCCTCCTCCTTATGCTGTCTCTCTCTCTCTCTCTCTTTCTGTCTGTCTGTCTCCCTCTGTCTGTCTGTCTCTTTAATTCTCTCTCTCTCGTCGCTTATGAACACAAGAATACTCTTGACATGCTGGAGATGAGTTTAAGGTACAGTTTTGCTTGTGTCGTTGTTATTTTGCTGGCAAACTCTCGCATTTAGACTGCCTTTGAATAGTCATGGAGGAAAAATAGCATTTGTTGTGTGGAAATATGTCTAATTATGTCTAAATGTCATAAACAAGTTGTTATACAATGTCAGTTTGCTTTGGAGAATGCTTTATTTTTGATCTAATATTGACTATGGTATCAGAAATACTCTATACTAATGTAAACTATGCTTATTTAGATATTTGCAAACATTATTTCAGTAAATGTGTATGTTCACATAAAATACTTTTGAAGACACTGTCATCTGCGCCATTTAAAAAATATTTTACTATTTTTAGGCATGCAGTTTTTCTTATTACTTGAGAGACTGGTCATATCTGTTCCTTTTACAAATTAATGTCATCATTTAAAAGAGATTAGAATAGTGAAAATAAATAAATAATGGCCACAGCAACTAAAAACACACTTTCTCCTCTACATCCATATGAATTTTACCCTGAGACCTTGATGCACATTCAATTTGTTTTCATGTTATGCATCAAGGATTGACTGGATTCTCAAGCTGCCGATGACATTTAACGATTTTTAATAAATGAAGCGTTTTTCTGCTTCATTGCACTATGGACTCCATCTGTTGAGGAAAGTCCTTGTTGACACCTGGTTCACTGTTCTATGTGTTTCCAATATGGCAACCTTGTATCAAAATGTATGTTTACTAAGCAATAATATTTGGAAAGATTGTAAGAGTGATGTTTTCGCAGTTATCTATTTTGTAGTAACAGCAATCTGCGCAAGTGTTTATGAGGATGCATTCAATGAACTGCTATCTGAACATCGTGCACCTGCATGTGTGGATAGTGGAAAATCATTATGATGCTGGTTGTTTTGACTTCATTTTGAATTGTTTAATGATGTGTAATTAATGCATGCTAAAATACTTCCTTTTTAATAAGCAGAGACAGTTGTAAGTGAACCATATGTAGGTCAGTTTCCCTGAAAAGTGTAACAGTGTGGCACCAGTATAAACCATCTGTTTGTCTGAGCAATGAAAGACACGGAAAAACTCATTATTTTTGTAGTTACGTATGTTGACGCTGGCAATAACAGAAATTATACACTTCAGCTTTAAAAAAAACAAAGATAAATAAAAGTCATTAAGGATCATTGCCTACTTTTTAGGTGAAATTCAGTTGTTGTTTGCAAGCTCTGGTCACAGATGCATGACTAGACGATCACAATAAAAAGTGAGAGAGAGAAAGAGGTTAAAATAGTTGCTCAGGCAGACTAAACACATGTTCACACACTCGACGCACACAGCGGGGTCCCTCCAAGATAAAAAGCAGACATAGAGAATTAATCCTCCTCCATCACAGTCTGAGAAAGGGAATCGGAGGAAATTATTAGATATGATGGCAGATGAAGAACCCTGTTTGTTCAAAGAAAATTGACTCCACACCCCTCGTCCCTTTAATGTGTTATACTTACACTCCAAAAATATATATTTCTTAGGTTTTATCCAAACATCCTTTAAAAGACTATTAAAGTTCTAAGCAAACTTGTTTAAAACTTTCATTTAAAGTTAAATATTCATATCTAAAATGAAATATATGTGTTTATTTAAATATTTAAAAATGTATGTGTGTAAAAATGTGTGCTTGCATACATATATAATATTTGAAAACGTATTTTCCCAAAATTCTATATAAATGCATATTTAAATATATATATATATATATATATATAAAATTCAGTGTACACATTTTAAAAGTTAAATCAATATTTATGTTCATTTAAATATATCAAAAATTCTACGTTTTTTTTAAAGTTACGGATGTATATCTAGAATTCAATAATTACGTTTTGTTAAATATGTACTGTAGATATGTATTATCAACAATTCAACATAAACGTTTTTTAAGTTAAATATGTGTAGAATTCAATATTTATGTTTAAATATTTAGATATGTATATCTAAACTTCAATGTAAACTGTTTTTTTAAAGTTACATATGTGTATCTAGAATACAATATTAACGTTTATTTAAATATGTATATCTAAAATTCAATGTAAAAGGTTTTTAAGTTAAATATATCTCAAATTCAATGTTTATGTTTATTTAAATATGTATATCTAAAATTCAATATATGTTTATTTTCTTAGATTACTGACAAACGGTTTTAAATTTTGTTGAAAGCATAAATTCATGGATGTTCTTGCTTGAAACAAGGTTCATACTTTGCCAATGTGCGTGTGAAAAATAAATCCAAACTTTTATGAAAACAAGTCTTAACCTTCTAAATGTCATTTGATCTTGTTTCATGATGTTTAGATACTTTAATTGGAAAACAAGACAAAAACTAAAATCCTTTCATACAGACTGAGCCTGATGCATGATCCTAACCTGCAGGTTTAAACACCTTTATATTTTACACATCATTCAGTTATTTTATTGCACAGTTATCTGCCTGCTGTCAATAACACCCTGAATTCTTTAACTCTGAGATATTATTGCGCAAATTTTGATGCCTGCCTCTGCACGCATGATCCGTAAATCCAATAACTTGAATAACAAGGCCATCAAAGAAGCATCAAATGGCTGAGGAATTATTCACACGTTGCATAATATCTCCGTCAGGAAGGAGATGGTCTGTTGTCTGTCTAACGTCTTTGATATTCATTTCAAAATTGCTCGCACTGCAGGAGAACAACATCAGTCCTGCGTTTCCCTTTAAGCCCAAGCTGGGAGGCCAGGCGCTAGTTTGGCTTGTTTTGAGTCCGAGATTGATAAAACTAAAGATCATTTGAGCCTGGCATGCATCCAAACAGCTCCGACAGAGAGCGCTCGGCCACAAATTCACTCTTCGATTCCTCAATTTGGTCTGATGGAAAATGTTATTGTCTGGCAATGCTCGTGGTAACAGGGCAATTTGGCACAGCAACATGTTGTGGTGAAACCTAGTCGAAGCGGATGGCTTGAGACTCGAGGATATTGATTTGTTCGATGTCAGCTGTATAATATTTGTGCCTTTCCAGGGAAGTGGCCGTTTTTCTTTCACCGGCTTTACTGCCTGTTATAGACAGATGTGTGTAAAATGCCTTTGTTTGTAGATGGGCTCAGCGTATGTTTAGGTAATTGCATTATAAACGCTAGATTTGTATTGTGAATCTTAGCTGTAATTGAGGTCTGTGAGGGCAGTTTGTCTCAATATCCTCCTTGGTGGCATCGTTGGTACTGAATATTATATAATGTGAAACCTCCCTTTGAACACCCACCCTCCTGTTTCCATGGTTTTACTCTTTGCTGCTTTCAACATCAAAAACAGCAACCGAGCACCCCACAGTGCCCATAGGATCAATTGCCGCATCCAGTTTTGGGTTTTATGCACTGTATTACCATGTTTTGAAATGGTTTTTCATAATAGTTAATACTTGGTTCTCTGTTGCCATGTGAGTAAAGTGGTTTTGCCAGAGCAATTTTATGGTTCATGGTTCATAAATATTCACCCAAAAGCTCGTATGACTCTTTCTTCTGTGGGACACAAAAGAAGATATTTAGAAAAATGTAATGCTGCTCTTTTCCATACAATGAATGAGGGGCTTTGCTTGTCAAGATCCAAAAATGATGCAACAAGCTCTTTATGCTCTTTTCTGTCAAACGTTGGCTTAGCTTTAGGAACAGACAAAAAAAAATAACTGGCAAAGAACAAAACTGAAAATCTGCTAATCTCAGATCTCATTTGCATTTGGGTTAAAGGTGCGTGATATGTTGAAATAAAATCCATATTGCAGTATGATGTCGATCGGGCAGGCTGCAGTTAAATTAATATATGCACTAAGTAGTTTTACTGAACAGCGCACTAATATTTTTATTTCATTGCAAACACATATATATGACATATATAACCTTTAATATTATAGTAATAAACCAAATGAGAGGGTTGCCTGTATATTTTAAAGCATTGGTTAGCAGAGATGTTTTTCCGTAAGAAAATCAAACTATCGGTATTGGCAGATATCATTCTGGATAATCAGCTATCAATATCGGGATCAGTATCGGTGCATCTCTAAAGTGTATACTGGATTTGACAGCTCAAGCCCCTTATTCAGTTTCATTGTATGGAAAAGAGCAGCATGAGCTTTTTTCAAAACATCTCCTATTGTGTTCTACAGAAGACATATACATACATATTTGTACAATTATTTATATTTTTATGCAAAAATGCTATGATCATTGGTTCTCACTTGTCTTGTAACCAAACATGATGCACCAAGTGTTAGTGAGGCTGAGTAAATTACGACTTTCATTCTTGGGTGAAGTATTTGGCTCTTGTGTTTGTTTTTAGTCTACACCCTTTTTTCTCAGCAATACCCTGATGCTGCGTGTCAAAACAATAGCTGGTCCACACTTAAAAAATCCTGCAGATAACCTCCAGCGATGTGCACTCTAGATTAATGAATGGTGAAAATTGCGCTTTTACATTATTAACTTCTGCAACCCTGACAACCTGATTTCATTTTCTCTGCCCCTGTTAATTACAGAATATCCCCCAGCCAGGTTATAAAAATGATCAAACCATTATTAACTATCTTTAAAGCCTTGTCTTCTTTTCCGCTCCATTTTAAAAAGATCATTTTAAAGTTTTAATTTCCCCACCAGATTTTTTTCAGCAACACGTCTTATTAATAACATTAAGCAGCAAGTAGCAGCGGCTTTTTGTTTGTCGTTGTGGAAATAACGTCTCCCCTATCAAGAAAACCAGTCACACCTGCGCATTTTCATTTGCATTAGCACCCAGAGCTTTTATTTAGCGAATGCTCGGAGAGATAAACAAGAAGGATGCATTTGTTAATTAATTAAGAGAAGTATAAAACCCGGAGGAAAACAAACTATACAACTTGCAGTGATAGTTGACAGCGTGAATCTCTTGAATCTCTCAGGACACATTTTACCTCAAAATAATAATAGTAATAGCTTGTTTTAACATGCTTCAAATGAAGCC